AAACACGAGGAGAGTCTGGAAGTCTGCTCTGGGATCCTGGGACCGGCTGCCCAGGGAGGCTCCCTGCCCTCCTCCCCAGGGCATTTTCAGGTGCTGTTGTTTGAAGTGAAGAGCTGCTGGGTCTGGATTTGGCATTGACCCTGCTGGGAGTCGGGGGGTGCTGGTGGGATCCTGAGGGTCCCTCTGACCTGCAGGAGTTTGTCCCCATGGTGTGCTGGTGGGATCCTGAGGGTCCCTCTGACCTGCAGGAGTTTGTCCCCATGGTGTGCTGATGGGATCCTGAGGGTCCCTCTGACCTGCAGGAGTTTGTCCCCATGGATGCTGGCTGTGCTGGCTCCCAAACCTCAGTGGGGAGCATCCATCACCTCCCCTTCCCCAGCTGCTGGCTGTGCTCTGGGACAGATCCCTCCTACTTGCAGCTTGATGGAATCCCAGAATGTTTGGGGTTGGAAAGGACCCTAAAGCTCATCTCATCCCCATCTGATACCATGGGCAGGGACAGTTTCCACTAATGCTATCCAACCTTGAGGTTTTGGAATCTGCTGGCACATCCCAGTTCTGTCCGCTTGCTCCCATGCTCTGTGTGTTTCCTTCTGCACAGAATTGTTTCCAGCATGGCCTGGCACTGGAGAAAAACATTTTGGGGGGCTCAGGTTGAAACTCTGGGTCCTTGATGTGAGACTCCCAAAGTGGGAAGGCCAGGATTTGTGAACAACAGCTCAGGGATAGCGCCTGCTCCCAGAAAAGGCGTGTGACTGGAGCCTTGGAGCTGAAGGCACCAGGTGTGGGGGTTTGACAGCTTTTTTGGGGGTCTGTGCTGGGGCTGCTCAGCCCAGGGAGCTGCTGTGTGGATCTGGGAAGAACGGGGGATCCATCAGGGCTCACCTCGCGGCGCGCGCTCCCGATCGGCGTTTTAATTAGCGATATATTCTGGGGGAGAACAAAAGGTCTGGCTGGCTGGAGCAGATGGCAGGGGGGAGAGGTGGCTGCTGCCTCATTCTGGGCAGAGCAAACGGCACAGGCTGCAGATGCTCGCCTGCGCCGCGCCATTCAGAGCCATGGCCATCTGCTCGCCGGGCACGCGCCTCCCGAAGGATAACGCATTCCTGGGATCCCCGTGGCTGTGACCCGTGGCCAGCTGTGGCCCTGCTGGGCTTGGGGGACAATGAGGGCCTGACACGGGGATGTCCCAGCCCCTCTTTGTCCCCTCGCTGGCGGTGGCCGACCCCGAGCCCCCAGTGCACAAAGGGAGCCCCCAGCCCTGCGCAGGGAGGGAGGGGAGGTCACACGAGCGCCCCGGGGTCACTTCAGGGGGTTGCCAGCCCAAAAAAATCCCTGGCTTTGTTCAGCCTCCTCGGGTTGTTGGTGTTTATGGGGTTATTGTGGTGTCAGAGAATCCCAGAATGGTTTGGGTTGGAAGGGGAGCTTGGAGCTCATCCCGTTCCGCTCCTCCCACTGTCCCAGGCTGCTCCCAGCCCTGTCCAACCTGGCCTTGGACACTTCCAGGGATGGGACAGCAGCAGCTGGTCTGGTTTTGCTGAAAGTGCTTGAAGTGAGGGGGTCTGGTGCTAAATCAATCTGATTTTATGTAAAAGTGTACATTGCTTATGCAAAAAGACTTGGAGACAGAGGATCTGCCTTCTGAGCACCGCTGGCAGGATCCCTTCAGTGCCCCAGCTGCCCCCAAGGGCGAGGATGGGTGGCTGCAGGGTGATCTCTGGCACCCAAGCCAAAGTTTTCTGCATTTTCAGATGGTAATTTAATCAAATCCCAGAACCATTTGGGTTGGAAGAAACCCTAAAACCCATCCAGTTCCATCCCTACCATGGCAGGGACACCTTTCACTGTCCCAGGCTGCTCCAAGCCCTGTCCAGCCTGGCCTTGGACACTTCCAGGGATCCAGGGACATCCAGAGCTGCTCTGGGCACCCTGTGCCAGGGTTGTGCCATTCTCTTTGTAAAGAACTTCCAGGGATGGGATTTAATGGCACCTGTTGCTTCAGATCCTGCTTTTTGTCCCTCGTGGGACTCTGGGATGCTGTGGCAGCAAAGGACCCTTGCCTGCTCCAGCAGCTGAAAGGGGAACAGCAGCAGAGCTAAAAAAAGTCCAGTGACTTAATCCAGTTTCCATGGCAACGTTGTAGATTAATGGCTTTTAGCTGTAATCTGAATGAGACGTATTGAACTTTTCTGTGACGATTTAGAGCCTCTTTATGTCCTGGGTGACTTTGACTGCAAATCCATCAGTCACGTGCAGGCAGAAGGATCCACTTGTCCCCCTGCAGAAGCGACATCTGCCACTGCTAAACCACAAGTTAATGTCGTGGGGCATCACGTGGGAGTAAATTCCCTGGGCTGCTACAAGGGTGGCAGGGATGAGACAATGTGTAGTACATGAGGAAATCACCTTAAATGCTGTAAATTCTTGCTCCTGGTGCTGCCTGAGCTGCTGGAACGCTGCCAGAGGGAGCAGGATGGTTTCAGACCACCGGAGAGTGGGGATTTTTTCCCTCTGTTAAGCTCAGTAAAAAGGCTTTGTTGACAGCGTAGCTTTCTCTTGATACAGAGCTGCACTTAGTGGAGGAGTTTTGAATTTGGCTTGGCTGAGTGTGGGGGGGAAATCAAGTGTTGGGAAGAAAGGATAACCCATCTCTGTGCAGCCCATGATCTTCCCTGCATCCCCATCCCCTCAGCCATCAACACCTCAAAGAAAAGCAGCGTGGTTTGCTCCGAGGGCAAACCTCTCCCTCTCCCCTCCCAGCTCCCTGCCAGGCTCTGATCTGTCCCCTCTCCTGGGTCATTTGTGGGGCTTTGGGCATCTCTGTGGGCTCTCCCCACCCGAGAGCCGCACGTGCCAGAACAAGGCAGGATCAAAGAGCTCTGGATTGCCAGCCCAGCCTGCAGGGAGATGAAAGCCCAGCAGCCTTGGATGCTGATCCCAGAGTCTCTTTCATTCAGGGGATGTCTTGCAATAGTAATAACTCTGTTTCCTTTTGTTGTCTCCCCAGCACTGGAAGACGCGAGGCAGCGAGGAGTACGAGGCCGAGGGTAAGAGCAGAGAGCAGCCCCTGGATGTGTTTATTCTCATTTCAGCTTTGAAGGGTGATCAGAGGAGCACGTGGAAAGCGGCTCTGGGTGTGTGGAGCATCCCAGCCTGGCTGGTGCAGAGCTCAGAAAGATGCAGCTGGGGCATCCCCCAAGCTGGGGGTGAAAGCTAAGGCAGGGCACGTCTTGTGCCACACCCCCTGTGCCTTCTCCATCCTCCTGTGGGTGTTCCTGGTCCCCCTGACCTCTGTCCTGGTCCCCACTCCTGCCCTGGGGGGCTCTGGCTGTACTGGAGCCAGGTGGGCACTAGATGTCAGCAGGGACCAGTCATTAAATGTTCCCCAATTGTCACAGAATTATAAAATCCTGGAATGCTTTGGAAGGGACCTTAAATCCCATCCAGTCCCACCCCTGCCATGGCAGGGACACCTTCCACCATCCCAGGATACTCCAAATCCCATCCAGCCTGGCCTTGGACGCTTCCAGGGATGGGAAATTTCTCTGAGCAACCTTTGCCAGTGTTTTACCATCTTCATCATCAAAAAACTTCCTTTTAATTGCACCAGCACCTCTTCCATATTTCAGCTGCTCTCTAACCCCTTCCCCATCCAAAGGGCAAACTTTTTTCTCCTAAATCTGCTTTTCCAGCCCCAGGAACCATATGATCCCATAACTGCCCAAGGGAAGAAGGGGGGGGGTCCCTTTTCCAGCAGCTGAGGGAGCAGAGCTGCCCTTCCCTGGCCACCAACCCATCAGACTCATCCACATTCCCAAAGATCCAGATCCTGCTGCTCAGTCTGCACCTGCTCAGGCACAGGGAGTCCCCATCCCTGCAGGGGTTAAAAGCTGGGTGGATGTGGCACTTGGGGACGTGGGTCAGTGGTGGCCTTGGCCGTGCTGAGGAACAGACCTCAGTGGTCTTTGAGGTTTTTTATCCAGCCTCAGCAATTCCGTGATTCTGTGGACAAGGAGGCTCCTTCCCCTCTGGTGGCACGTGAGGGAAATGCTGAGCAGAGCCAGGACCAGTGTCCAAATCCCAAAATCCAGAGTGTGCTCTGGGTAGGATGAACGCAGACAGACGATCCCTTGGGATCTGCAGAGCCAGGAGGGGGCTCTGCCCACTGCAGAACCCCCAGATCTTCTGCTCCTCACCCCAGACACCGGAGCAATCTCCCCCTTTTCCAGGGCAGCTGCGCTTCTGGAACCCGGACGACCTGAACGCCTCCCCTGGTGCCTCACCCAGCCCAGACTGGATCGAGGAGAAACTTCAGGAGGTGTGTGAGCACCTGGGGATCACCAGGGATGGCCACCTGAACAGGAAGAAGCTGGTTTCCATCTGTGAGCAGTACGGGCTGCACGCGGCGGCCGGGGAGGTGAGCGACCGCGTACGGAGCCGTCCCCAAAATCCCTCCTGGGCTTTCACCACGAGCACAGGTGGCTGCTTGGAAAGGAGTTTGCAGCTCCAGCTCCTGGTCTTCAGTGAGGTTTTTGGTCCCAAACCATCAGGCTGCTCTAGGGGAAGGCAGCTGCCAGCCTGAGCCGTGGTGTGCTTGTCTCCTCACGCAATCACAGAGTGGACTGGAATTTAAAAGCGTGGCTTGGATTCCAATCGTGCCTCTTTAATCCTGGGAATCTTCTAGCTAGACAGCAAATATGGGTTAAATATTCATAGGTGGTTGCTTTTGACTTTGTGAAGGCCTGTGGGCTGTTTCTGTCCTGCAGCAGCAGCTCAGGAGAAAATTAGATCTTTAGCAAAAACAAAAACCAAAACAGGCTCTTGTCAACTTAGGATTTAGTTTTATTAAAATAGTTCAATTTTTGTGTCTTAAGATAACGTGGCTTGTAATAATTTCCTCCACAATACATGTTTCTGAGCAGGTATGCCTTTGCAGCATCCACAATGAAATGTTTTCAAGGTATTAAGGCAGAAAATGAAAAAGATAAACTGTAGACAAAGAGTGAGGGTCTAATCTGAACAATCTCCAGTCCTACTTTTGAGAAAGCAGCGTGGCCTGAGGCATAAAACAGATTTATGATAACCTTGCAGTGTCTTAGGGGTGTTTTTTTTTGCCTGGTCACTTCAAGCTGCTCAGGGTTTGGTATATCTCAGTACCTTGAGCTGAATTCCTGAGGTCACTGTCTCAGGAGCAGAATGAAATGAGGTTTTTTATTTCCTGCTGCCTCATTAAACAGCAGCTCCAAGATGAGCAGGAGCTTTTCTTCATGGCAAATGTGTGCCTGCAATTTTCCACGTGGAGAGTATGGAGATGTGTTAGGCTGATGTTGCAGGTAACTCTTGCCTTGCTCTTTTTGGAGCTGTGGGAATAGGATGTTTTATCTGTGCCACGTTTTGTTTTTTTTTTGACCTTTATGTGATTTCTGTCTCCTTGCAGGTGCTTGAAGAGGTGCTCCATAACCTGGAGCAAGATGGGACCATGAGCATAGAGGATTTCTTTTATGGCCTGTTGAGAAATGGGAAATCTCTCACACCTTCAGCATCTACTCCGTACCGGCAGCTGAAGCGTCACCTCTCCATGCAGGTGAGAAAGTGAGAGCTCAATCCTGGCCTAAAAGGAGCAGGAGAATTCCTGAACAATTCCCAGCCAGCCTTTCTCCTCCTCTTCCTCAGCGTTTGTCCCTGCAGGGGCAGCTGTGAGGGTCCCCGAGGTGCTGGCAGTGAGGATCCCCTGCTCCCAAAGCAGATTCCAAATTCTCTCTCAGAAAATAAACCAGAATTTCCTCAGGGGAAAGGGCTCGTGGCTCCCCTTTGAAGTTTTGTGGCTCGGAGAGGGCTCTGGCAACCTGTGGAGTTCAGTGTGTAAATGGCCTTGTAGAATTCCAGGCTGGTTTGTGTTGGAAGGGACCTTCAAGCTCGTTCCAACCCCCTGTTCATGGTCAGGGGCACCTTCCACTATCCCAGGGTGCTCCAAGGTCCATCCAGCCTGGCCTGGAGCACTTCCAGGATGGGATATCCAGTATAAACTGGCTGCAGGGGGAAGCAGTGACCTGGGATAGGCTGGGCACATGCAGGTTCCATGTCTCTACTCCAATTCTTGCTTTTTTTTCCTGAGAGAGAGTTCAAAATCTGCTCCCTGTCTTTGCCTGGAAGCTGAGTGCTCTACCCAAACCACTCTACAAGTGCTCCCTGCAGCTGTTTTAGGGAAAGTCCCATTCCAAACCAAAAATGAACGGTGGGAAACCCTTCAGGAGCACGGAGGCTCTGACAAACTTCTCCTCCTGGGATTTATTTTAAATCCGGAGCGCTCGGTCGTGCCCCGGTGCCGGGAGCTCGGCAGCGACGTTCTCGCCGCCTTTTTGCTTGGCAGTGAGGAAAAAGCAGATTAATCCTTAATCTCCAGAGCAGTGCTAGGGAAATTCCATTGGTAAACCGAGGGAATTGGAAGTTGGTTTTGCCCTGTCACAGCCTCATCCTCTCTCCCAGTCCTTCGACGAGAGCGGGAGGCGCACGACCACCCCCTCGGCCATGCCCAGCACCTTCGGCTTCTCCCTCTTCTCCAGCCTGGACGATGGGATGGGCTTCGGCTGCGTGGAGGGGGTGCTGGACTGCTGGCACCAGGAGGGCATCGAGAACAGCCAGGAGATCCTGAAGGTAACCCCAGCTGCAGCTCACCCCCACTTATCTGCAGGTTTTTGTCTCCCTGTGTTGGATGCTCAGTTGGTTTTTTTAATTTTTTTTGGTTTTTTTTCTTTCCAAAGTTTTTGGGTTTTTCCCCTTTTAAAACTTCCCAGCCATCCCTGGGAGTGTCCAAGGCCAGGTTGGACAGGGCTTGGAGCAACCTGGACTTGTGGAAGGTGTCCCTGCCCATGGCAGGGGGCTGGAACTGGATGATCATAAAGATCTATTCCAGTCCAAACCATTCCATAATTCTGTAAATTAGAATTATTTATATACTCTATAATATATATATTTTTATATATATTTTATATATTTTTATTTATTTCTATATATTTATTTATTTTATATTTATATTTATAGTTTATATATATTTTATATATTTTTATTTTATATATTTATATTTATTTATAATATTATATATAACAGATATAATTTATATTATACATATTTATTTATATTATAGATAAAAATATCTATTGTATAATTTATATTATATATATTTATATTATAAATATATATTATAGATTTAACATATAGAATATATATTTATTTATATATTAAATTATATATAAAAACATATTCTTTATATATAAATATTTTATTAATAAATAGAAATATTACTATTAGTTTTAATTACTATATTAAGTAATATTAATTAATATTGGTTATTAATAGTAATGTTTAAATATAAATATTTCATATTATATATATTCTTATAAATTTTTTTTTATGTATTTATATTTAAAATATATATAGAAATTCCCAGTGCTGGTGACAACAGTTCTGGGAAACTTCCAATCATTTCCTTTATGGTGCATCCCAGAGAACATTTTATTTATGATAAAGATCCACTGTGATTTCCAGCAGGACTCGAAGAGGTCACCTACATTCATTAGGAAGCAATTGAATTCCTTTCCCTCCCTCAATAGCTGCACCTGCAAACCTCTCAGCCCTGGGATAATCTGAATTATTGCTCGTGCTGGGCTGGAGGACAGGAATTGAAACCCTGCCCAGTCCTCAGTGTCCATGAGACAGAGGAAAAGGGTGGTGGGGATGAGATCAGGTGAATAAATCCATAATGCCCATCTCATTTAGAAGCTGTGGATGGGAGAAGACAATTTCATGTGACCATCACTGGATTCCCAACAGTGATGGCTTTTAAAAATCCATGTGGATATTTAAAACATTATTCCAGCCAAGCTGCCACTGCTCAGGATTTAAAACCCACACTCAGATTTGTGTGTCCTCCTTCATTTTGTTGCTTTCCACTGGAAAATTGCTTTGTCCTGGTGTCACTGGGGTGGTTTCTGCAGTGCTTCAGCCCCACCACAAGCGCTCTGCTTTGTGCTCCTGCAGGGTTATGTTGAATTATTTAGGTTGGAGAAGTCCAGCTGTCAGTTTAGCCCATGTTCACCTCTGAACCCCATCCCCAAGCACCACATCCATGGGGGTTTTGGGCACTTGCAGGGAAAGCAAAGGCCTTTCTTCAAGGCTTGGAGCAGCCTGAGATTCTGGAAGATGTCCCTGCCCATGGCAGGGGTGGGACTGGATGATCTTTATTGTCCCTTCCAACCCAAAGCATTCTGATATTTTACAAAATCCCGAGCAGTTGCTGATGGTAACTCTCTCTCTAAGAGGTGAGATCCTCACCATCAAATCCTTCCTGCTCCTGTGTCACCTCTGCTGCAAGAGCTGCTTTAGTTTAACACAAACATCCCCAACCACCTCAGCAGCAGCTGAGTCCAGTCTCCTTAGATCCAGCAGGGAATTACTGCATTCCATCCGAGCTTCATTTCCTGTTGGATTTTTTTTTTTTGGGAAGCACAACCAGGACATTTCCCATCTCCTCCCTGGCAGCAGCTCTGCTGAGGAGGGAGGTGGCAGAGATGTCTGCTTTATTGCCCTCGGGGCGTTTGTGACAGATTAATTAGCGAGTTAAGATCTCTTCTGAGCCTGTCAATCCCTGCACAGACGTCTCCAGGCTCCTGCAGGGAGCTCGTTCCGCTCAAAGGACGCGTTGTTCCCGCAGGCTCTGGACTTCAGCTTGGATGGGAAGGTGAACCTGACGGAGCTGACGCTGGCGCTGGAGAACGAGCTCCTCATCACCAAGAATGGGGTGCACCAGGCAGCCCTGGCCAGCTTCAAAACGGAGATCAGGCACTTGATGTGAGTCCCAGGGATGGCTTGGCCAAGCAGGAGCTGAGCAGGGAGCAGCTGGTGGGTGCTGGCGCTCCCAGGGGCACTGGGGTGGCACTGGAAGGCTCAGCGCTCTGAAAGTGCTCAGAAACTTCTTGTTTTGCCTGGGGAAAACACTCAAACCTCTCCATGGATTGCAGAAAAATTCCAAATCAAAAACAAACAGTGGAAAACCCTTTTGGAGCATGGAGGCCAGCTCTGATAGACTGCTCCTCCTGGGATTTATTTTAAATCCTGAGTGCTTGGTTGTGCCATGGTGCTCCCGCCGCAGAAAAACGTGGTTGAAAAATAAGGAATGGAAGCAGCAGGCTGTTCCCAGTCTGGGAATGGGCACTGATGGCCAAGGAATGCACAGCCCAGGGCAGAGGCTGCTGGAGTTTCTCAGTACCTTTAATCCAAACTGATCTGTGGCATTGCAGAGGTTCGATGGGTATGGAGGTGAGGTACAAGCACACTGTAAATCCCAAAGTTTTTCCTTTGAAAGTCAACACAGTTAGACTTTGTGCTGGACTTGCTGTGCAGGTTTCTCTATCGGGAAAGAAGCTCCAGGGACACCTCAGAGCCCCTTGCAGGGCCTGAAGGGGCTCCAGGAGAGCTGGAGAGGGACTGGGGACAAGGGATGGAGGGACAGGACACAGGGAATGGCTGCCAGTGCCAGAGGGCAGGGATGGATGGGAGATTGGGAAGGGATTCCTGGCTCTGAGGGTGGGCAGGCCCTGGCACAGGGTGCCCAGAGAAGCTGTGGCTGCCCCTGGATCCCTGGAAGTGCCCAAGGCCAGGTTGGACAGGGCTTGGAGCAGCCTGGGACAGTGGAAGGTGTCCCTGCCCATGGCAGGGGTGGAATGGGATGGTCTTGAAGGTCCCTTCCAACCCAAACCATTTCAGGGTTTGAATTTGGGGGCTGGACCACAGCTCAGGGTCTCAAGGGCTGAGGTCTCAGGGTCTGTGGGGACACCAAGACGTGTCCAGAGCTATTTGGGTGTAGATTCAGACCCAGTGACTAAACACAGTTGATGAGAGCCTTGGAGATCTTTCCAAGCTTCTTCTCTGATGTCTCAAACCCCCTTTTTTGGGGGAGCAGTGAGGGCTGACCTAATCCAGGCTGGCTCTGCTCTGCCCAGGGAGAGGTTTGACCAAGTGGCCAGGGAGAAGGAGAAGCTGAGGTCAGACCTGGAGAAAGCAGAGAAGCTGAAATCCCTGATGGCCTCGGAAGTGGACGATCACCACGCCGCCATCGAGCGCCGCAACGAGTACAACCTCAGGTAGGGACCACCCCTCCCTCCTCCTGGGCAGCGCTGCCCTGGCATTGCAGGGACTCTGGTGGCCACCCAGCTTCACCCCAGCAGTGTTTGTCACCTGCCTCCTGTGACGAGCTCCTGTCCCCTCCTGGTGCCTTGGCAGGAAGCTGGATGAGGAGTACAAGGAGCGAATCGCCGCGCTGAAGAACGAGCTGCGCAGGGAACGGGAGCAAATCCTGCAGCAGGCCAACAAACAGAGGCTGGAGCTGGAGCAGGAGATGGAAAAGCTGAAAACGGATGAGAACTACATCAGGGACCGCCTGGCCCTGGCCCTGAAGGTAACAGGGAATAAAATTTCCCCCAAAAAGCCGGGATACCCTGGGAGAGGGAGTGACTCCTGCAGTTCATGTCAAAAGGATGAGTTCTGGGCTATGTTTAGCTGGCCAGAAGTCATTTAAGCTGTAAGATCGAGGTGTGTCCATGAGAATTGGTGTCTGGGGCACCTCGATGGCTTCTTCCATGGATTCCTAATCTCCAGTTCAAATCTCTGCTGCCATCAAGTGCAGAGTGTGCGTGTGCATGGCTAGGAGATAAAGCCAGGAGATAAAACATCTTGATCAAGTTTAAAATACTCTTTTAACAACAAACAAACCATCCAGAGCAAACTTGCTGTTAATTAATTAGATAATTTATCAAAAGCCCAGTGTTCGCACTTGCTGTGGCAGGAGTGGGTTGTGTGTGGATGGATTCATAATTCACCACCAGAAGCTTGGAATAGTGTCATGCTCTGGATTGAATGGGAGTTACCCTTATTTTGATGAGTTAACACATGCTGATTTTTCCCTCCTCCAAGTGCTGAGGCTGTTGTGGTGTTTTGTGTTTGTTCCAGGAAAACAGCCGCCTGGAAAACGAGCTCTTGGAAACGGGAGAAAAACTGGCCGAGTGTGAAAGTCTGGCAGGCAAACTGCAGAGGAACTTGGAAAATGTCCTGGCTGAGAAGGTAAATCCTCCTTTTCCCAGTGGGGTTTCAGAATTAAATCACTTGTAAGTTGCTACATTTGAGCTGCCAGTTTAACTGATACCCAAATTATCCAGCACAGGTGCCTCGCTGACATGGGCTGCTAAGGGAAAATACAGATATTCCACCTTAGCTGTAATTTTATTCTCATTAAAGCAGGGAGCCTTAGAGTGAAGCAATCATCTGTAAAAGATCTGCAGGGATTTTTTTGCCTCCCAGTGAAGGAGTTTTGGATAGACCCAGCTTGCAGGTCCTTTGCAGGGAAGATGATGCAGGAGGGAATGAGGTTTTACATGGCATCGCTGCTGGAATTGGGTGAAAATCGAGGTGAACAGCTGTTCATGGCTGTATTTCATGAAACTTTTCAGAATATCAGCTTCTCCAAAGATGTTTAAATTTGTGCAGCCATAGCCTGAGGTTCATATTTTAGGATTTCCAGCCTTCTTTAAAGCTTGGGATTATTTACCACACTGAGATGTGTATATGCCAAGGTGGAAAGCTGTGATCTGCAATCAAAATGAGCACGAGAGCTGTGCTAGGTGGCAAACAGGTTTTTTTTTTGGGAAGTTACTCATTTTCTGCTTGGGGAAGAGTGGGGTTTCTTTATTTAAGGTAAAAATCCAGAGTGGAGAGGGGAGTGGAGGCTGCAGGAGTGCTTGGGATGGCATCCCTGCCGTCCTGAGCAGGGCTGCAGGGTGGGTGGATAACTGGATATTCCATTCCTGTGTTCCAGTTTGGTGACCTGGATCCCACCAGTGCCGAGTTTTTCCTGCAGGAGGAGAGGCTGGCCCAGATGAGGAGCGAGTACGAGCAGCAGTGCAGGGTAAGAGGAGCTCAGACCTGGCTCCTGTATCCACCAGGAACATCACAGAACCATTTAGGCTGGAAAATCCCTCTCACCTTGAGTCCAGTCATTCCCCCAGCACTGCCAAGCCCTTCCCTGACCGTGTCCCCAAGTGCCACATCCTCACCGCAAACAAAGGCTTGGAGAACTCTTCCCACAGAATCTGGCTGAGCTATGAGGGTTTGGTGCCCCCAGGATGGGCTGGGAGAGGCTCCATGGAGCCCTGTGAATCCACAGTGGCAGGAACTTAAAGGAGAAATAAGATACGTCCACATTTTGCTGGTTTTCAGACCGGAAATATTTTTTAAAAAAATAAATCTGAAAATAAAAAGTTTCCTTTCTCCTCCACCTTGGGTACTTAAAAGACTTTAAGGTGAGCCTGCAGGTTTTCTATTTACACATCTACTTTCTGATATCTGCAGGGGTATGAACTCATCTCTTGCCCAGAGCAGCTGTGCCTGCCCCTGCATCCCTGGCAGTGCCCAAGGCCAGGTTGGATGGGGTTTGGAGCAGCCTGGGATTGTGGAAGGTGTCCCTGGCAGGGTGGAACTGGATGGGATTTAAGGTCCCTTCCAGCCCAAACCATTTTGTGATTCTGTGATCTGTTCTGCAGGATCATTTCCAGTCAATAAAGGGCTGCCTTTGCAGAAGGCTGTTGGATTGAAACAGCACGGCAGCTCTCTTAGGAAGCTGCAGGTTAAAAGCAAAAATCGTCTAGAAATAGGAGTCGATTTGATCTTGCCAAAATGCAGCTGATTTCTCTATTCCTGAGGATGGCAGATACAAATCAGTACTCAAGGTTCACCTCCTGGCCCTTTCAGACCTGCAGGGTTCTGTGTTTGCACATTCAGGGGGTTGTTTTCCTCAATATCTGCTGTTCCTGGGGTGAAGTGCACAGCTCTTGGCACAAACCCTCAGGATGTTCCACTGGCAGGAGGAAGGAAGGACCAGATAGTAAATGCAGTAATGAGGGGGTCTCTTTCCTAATTTGATCTTTTGCTTCTGATTTGATTTTTCAAGTAGATGGTGTTTGAGGAGGCATTTCCCAACTGTTTGTAAATGTTACCAAATAAAGCTGCTTTTTAATAAAAGGTCACGGGAAGAAGGAATAGAGGGAAAGCTCCTGGAGTGTTAAACCTTCATCTTTCAGAGTTTGGTATTGAAGAATCATCAGAGAATCCCAGAATGGTTTGGATTGGAAGGGACCTTAAAAACCTTCTTGTTCCATCCCCTGCCATGGGCAGGGATGCTTTCTGATATTCCAGGGTGCTCCAAGCCCCATCCAACCTGGCTTTGGACACTTCCAGGGGCAGCCACAGCTGCTCTGGGCACTCTGTGCCAGGGCCTGCCCACCCTCACAGGGTAAAATTCCTTCCCAATATCCCATCCATCCCTTCCCTCTGGCAGAGGGAGCCATTCCCCCTTGTTTGGCTGTGGCACTATGGATTATTGACAAATCCTTCTCTGCTGTAATTCCCACCCAAATGTCCTGTGGTGGCTCTGGGTCGGTGCTCAGCAGCCTTGGTTCCTTTTCACTCAGCTTTTTTTTGGGTTTATTTTCTCCAGGAGCTGCAGGATCAGATTGATGAGCTGCACTCAGAGCTGCAGCAGTACCGTGCCCAAGGCAAAGTGCTCAGGCCTTCCCTGAAAAATTCCTTGTCGGAAGAGTTTGACATTGTCACAAAGACTCACAGCAACAGCGGGATTGAGCCTGACCAAGGTAAAAGAATAAATCCTGAGATCTCTCCTGCAGGAGTTTACAGCATCTTCAAGGTCATTCCATGAACACCTTCCCAGGGAGACTTGGTCACCACCTCTAATTTGGTGTTTAATGTTAATTGACCATGACTGCTGAAGCAAATTTAAAGCTGAAATTTGTGTTTGCAGTTTTTGTTTGTGTTTGTGATGGGAGGTTGAGAGCTGCTAAACAAATTTAAATGGATGAAATAATTCTGTTGAGAACTATCTGTGTTTGTGTTGTATAACCAATGCTTTCATAGTTATATAAATTAATTATTGCTTGATTGCTGTTTCTAAAGGACTTGGTTCAGAAGACTGCAACCCACTAAATATGAGCATAGAGGCAGAAATGGCCATTGAGCAGATGAAGGAGCAACACCACAGGGATCTGCATCACCTCAAACAGGAGCTTGAAGACACAGTAAGTGCTGGACTGAAATGGTCTTTAAAGTCCCTTCCCACCCAAACCAATCTGGGATTCTGTGATCCCAGTAAGAAATAAAGCTGAGCACTTAGGCTTTCTTTCCAGTGAGATCAGTATAAGATGCTGATGTGTAAATCAAAATATTCAGTAGAATGAATATATAAAACTAGCTGGAAATACTGAGGAAAACATGCCTGTAGAACATTCTGTGGAAAATGAATGGACCCATCCTGTTTTCCCTTCTGTAGGTGAGCCACTATGAAAAGCAGCTGGATGAGACAAAAGCTCGCTGGGAAAAGGAGCAAGAGGATATGAGGCAGAAGTATGCTGAGGAGATGGATGTCATGGAAAAACAGATCACTGGCCTTAAAAATCAAATAGCAGAGCTGCAGGGAGAGGCAGCAGCGCTCAGAGAGCAGCAGGAAAAGCTCGACTGTAAATACGACGAGGAGAAAAACAAATTACAGATGCATTTCGATGAGGAGAAAGCCAATCTGCAGGAGCTGTTGAGACAGGAACATGAAGAGGATGTCAGGGCCAGACTGGAGCAGGTGAATGAGAAGTTCAGGCAAGAACGGGAGGAGCTGATCCAGAAGAGTGTCTGGGTGGAGGAGAAGATGAGAGCTGTGGTGCAGACGCTGCAGGAGGAGAAGGGGGAGCTGGAACGTGGCTTCCACGAGCAGGTGAAGAGGCTGGCAGAGGTGCACGCCCTGGAGAAGGAGGAGCTCCAGGAAGAGCTGCTGAGGAAGCACGAGCAGGAGCTGGAGGAGGAAAGGTGAGTGTCACCTCTGGTGGGGACTCTGCTGGAGCTTGGTGACCGGGGTGAACCTAGTGCAGAAACTTCCCTGCTGGGGAATTCCGAGCATCCTGCCCGCCCAGTGCTGTTCCTGCTCTGTCCCACGGCACTGGGCTGCTCTCCAGGGGTTCTTTTCTCTTCTGACCTTTCTCAAGCAGATGTTCAGATTCATTTTTAGCTTGCCCAGAGGCACCAATAGTGTTAAAGCATAACCAGGTATGATTAACTGGGAGCTCTGTTCAGGATCCCTGTGCTCCACAAATCCCTGCTTGGTCTTTGTAAAACTCGTGGGTTTTCAGAATTCTTTGCTGAAGAAGGAAAGGGGTGGCTGGGAAGTGATTTTAGCCAACATGGAGTGTCAAAAGAAACTGAAGGTGCTGGGGGTGATAACATCTGCCCCACCAGAATCTGAGCACAGGAGCTGAAGGGCACATATTGCACATGAAACCTTTCCTGAGGACATTTCATGAGTTGTTGCACTTTTCCAAGGCAGTTTTTCTTTTTTGAAGTTTCAGCAGATTGCCTCAAATTTAACTCCCTGAAACACCCACCCAGTAGTCAGTGGAGGAAAGGAAAACTAAATTCCCAACTTGTTCCATTCAGCCTAGAAAGCTGCTTTAATCTCTGAGGTAGTTTAGTAATATCTTATGTTAACCATGTCTAGGAAAAAAATGGCAAGTGACTATAAGAGAAGAGCATCTCATGCACAAACTCAGTTTTCTGTGGACACACAAACACTTGTGAATAAATATGAAGAAACCCTGCAGAGTCTGGAAGGACGTTACCAGCGAGAGCTGCAGGAACTCGCTGAGCAGCAAAGAGAGGAGAAATCCCAGTGGGAGTTTGAAAGGGATGAAATTGCTCAGGAGGTGGCTGAAGCCCACGAGCAGCTGAAGGAAAGCTTGGCAAGCGAGAAGGCTGTTTCTTCTGCCCTGAGCCGGGAGAAGGATCTCCTGGAGAAAAATTTCAAGGAAGTAGTGAACAAGCTGGTGTGTGAGAGGGAGCAGCTGGAGAAGGAGCTGCGAGAGCTGAGGAGTGCTGCCCAGGAGCAGGAGGAAAAGATGAATGAGAAAATAAGCCAGCTCCAAAGTGACCATGAAAAAGAGCTAAAGGAGAAAGATGAACATAGATCTGCAGTGGAGCAAAATGGGAAACTGGTTAGGGAAAAGCTGGAGAGACTGGACAGTGAGTATAAGCGAGAGAAAGAAGAGCTCAATTCCAAACTTCTTGCTTTGGAGAGTTTAAACAGAGACATTTGTGAAAGAGCAGAGACAGAAAAGGCTGAGATGGGTTTGGAAATCTCAGACCTCCGAGGGAAAATACGGAAATTGCAGTGGGAAACGCGGAGTTTTTCCGCCCTGCAGAGCCATTACAGGGTGCTGGAGAGTGAGTATGCAAAAGCCAAGAGCCAGATCGCTGCTTTTCCTGGTGCAGCTCCTCTGGGAGATGATGGGGATGTTCTCCAAAACCTGCAGAAGGTGCACGAGCAGGCGGTGAAGGAGAACGTCAGGATGGCTGCCCAGATCCTGAGGCTGCGGCACCGGCTGGAAGCAGCAGAGCGGGAGCTTCCGCAGCCTCCCAGCCCCAGCTGCTCCCACCCTGGCTCAGAACCAGAGGAAATAGATCCCAGTTTTGAAGGGCTGCCCAGTGATTGTCAAGATGTAGCTTTGGGGGCAGATTTCAATGTCCTTCCACCTCTGGGGGCTGATGCTACAGATGTGGAAGAGATGTCGGAGATGGATTGGGATTTGGAGGAGGGATGTGTGAAATCCAGAGCTGGCGGCCACCCTGAGGCACAGGAATGTTGGATCCAGGCAAGTCAAGCAGCTCTGGATGTTGATGACAACCAGGATTGTGACCAGAGCCTTTCTTGGGTGCCTCTGCCGCCAAAAAAGAGAGATCTGGAGGAAGTTCCCAGGCCAAAAACGCTGCCCAGCGATGTCAAACAGCAGAAGGTTCATCTGCTAAATCACAGAATAGCTCCCAAAAATAAAGGGTTTGTGTCTGAAGGTTTGAAGATGCAGGTGGAGCTGGAGAGGGCTGAAGAAACGAGCGAAGCCTCTCTCCTGCTGGATCGCTCTCCCGGGGCAGCAAATGGTGACCTGAAGAGCGTAATAGCTCAACTTTGGAAAAGGATGGAAGAGTTGGAAGACAGGTCCATGGCACAGGCTGGACTTCTGTTGCTGCAAGAAGAAATCCAGGTAGAAAATGAGGATCTGAAAGCTGAAGTGATGCAGTTAATTGAGAAAAATGAAGTGCTGGAAGACAGCCTGCGTAGGCTGAGAAGGCTTCGTCGCGAGCAAGAAGAGAGTGAGGTGGAAAGCGTAAAGTTGGAAGAGGAAAATGCCAGATTTCTCGTGGAAGTTAAAGAATTGGAAGATGTTAAAGAATTGGAAGATGTCCAAGAACAAGACACTCAAGGAAACGTGGATGTGCCCACCACGAGAGGTGGGAAGCTGGAAGAGCGTCCCGCTGCATGGACGGGCCAGCGGGACAAGAATTCCCAAAGCCGCAGCGCCGTGCCGCAAGCGGGAAGAGCGGGAATGGGGGAGCCCAAGCCCCAGGTGAAGGAGGAAGCTCTGGGTGATGCAGAGGAGAGGAAGGCAGTGACACAGGGCTTGCAGAGCACGTGCACCGAGCTGCAGCACAAGGTTGACCTGCTGAGGTAACGTAACGCGACCTTCGCCACTAACCCAGCGCTGCCGTGGCTGCTCCTTTAACCACCGTAGTTTAATTCTGATTTAACTCTGAGTAGCAGACAGTGCTGTGGACTCCTAACTCCTCTAATCCTGGATATAAAGACCACTGGAATAAATAACTGTGTGTGACTTACTCCTCCTGCCAGCACCTGCCAGCTGTCCTGTCTGTGGATTGTCACCGTCACCGTGTGTAGCTCGTCCTCCAGCACAAACCCATTTGTATTTCCATGTCCAAAATCCATGGTAACACTTCCAGAGCGCTTTGTAGCTTTTACTAATATTCACTTCACTCAGTTTGTTCCCTTCTAGAGCTGGATGTTGCTCACAAGGCTAAAATTGCTCCTGTTTTTCCCCTCAGTATTTCAGTAGAATCGTGGTCATTTGAAAGGCTGAAAGTGCTTCTGTTTTTCTCAGTATTTAAGTTGATATTAGAGAATTATATGGTAAATACAGTTATAAAGCATATATTCATTATATTATATTTATCATAGGTTTTACCTCCTTATTTTTAACTGCTTTGTTCTGGCAAGGATTTATTTATTTTTTTTTTAATTTTTTTTTAATGGATAAAATGGCTACAAGTGGCTTAATTATTGTTCAGCACCAGCTTCCTGCAGGAAATTGTTCTTTCAGGTGTCCCATCATGGCTAAGTTATTTCTGTGCAGTCTCCTGAGGACAAAAAAGGCACTTTCCAACCGTGCTGTTCCCAGAATTCTGAATTCCAGCTGGGGGAACAGCTCACTCTCCTGGCAATCTGCATATTGTGATGTTCAGTTGTTATTTGTAGCTTGAGGACTGAAATATATATAGACTATTAGTGTGAAGCTTTAGATTTTAACTCATTTTAGCTGCTCAAAAACATGCCCCAAAAGCCCAGTTGTTGGTTGGGTGTTTTTTTGAAGTTTGTTGTAAAAATTTGGGGGTTTTTTAAACAAACTTGGGGAGTGCTCCTGCTGAATTAATGTAAAATAGAAATACACCATTTACACGTAAAACAAGGCAATTGTAGCTTTGTTTTTGAAGCATTACAGGTAGCTCTGACTTTGTTCCCCTCTCCAGGTGTCCTGCAGGAACTGTTCTCACTTCTCTCCTGTCTCTGCCGCAGGTGCGAGGCCGAGAAGCTCCGCGAGGAAAACGCCGTCCTGAAAAACGAAGTGACTTTATTAAATGAGGAAGGGAGCGCTTCCAGCCTGAAACTGCGGGAGCTGAATGGATCCAGGGAAGAGATGAGGTGAGAATTCCATGGGGAATGTACCCTGTGATGCCTCCAGGCTGTTGCTGTGGCTCAGAGAAGGGTTCATCCCTTCTCTCCGAGCTCCTTCGTGCGTTAGGTGCTGTATAAATCCAAAATGGGGTTGTTTCACGGTGCTGTTGGAAATCCAGCAGGTTGACAGGTTTATTCCTCATCCTCTTCCCTGCCCCAGCTTGTCCTGCCCATCCCCAGAGCCAGGCAGGGGTTTAGCTGCAGGCATTGAGGTGACCCAGTAACACACAGGAGCACAGGAGCTGAGCTGATGTAATTATTTGTGCTTCAGCAAAGGCAGGGAGAGGCTCATCCGACAGATTATTCCAGTGGTTGGGTCTTTGGAAAGGGCAGAACCATCCATGATCCTGGGATTATCCTTCCCCTCTAGGAAAGACCCACTTGGGGCACCTTGAGAAGCTGAGCACTTGCCAGGTTGATGCAGAACAGGGATGCTGAGCAATGCATAAATAAATATTCACAATTACCATTTCTGGTGGTGTTAAAAGAAAAATCAACTCATTTTTGGAATCATTAAGGTTGAAAAAGACTTCCAAGATCATCAAGTCCAGCCATTCCCCAGCACTGCCAGGGCCACCACTGTCCCATGTCCCCAAGTGCCACATCCACCGTGGATTTTAAATCCCTCCAGCCCTTCACTGACCTGGGCAGTAAAGAAATCTTTCCTAATATCCAATCTAAACCTCCCCTGGCACAAATTGAAGATGATGTCCTCTTGTGCAATCTTGCAGTTGTGTATATTGCTAATTGATTTTAGTGTTAATGAGCTTTCATTTTTCCACAGGCAGAAGATAGAGGCTGTGAGAAAAGAGAAAGTGGCTGTGCAGAAAATGGTTGACAACCTGAAAAAGCAGGTGTGTGGCCTGAGCCCAGAACTTTCTCTGTAGAAATCATCACTGGATCAAAGCTGTTCCTTGGGACAGTCACAAAGGCAGCAGAGAAGGAGCATTTTATAAGTGTAGACATTTTCATAACTGTTTTATTGCCTCTGAGATTGATTTGAGGCTTTGCTTGACCAGCTCATAAGACAAAAGCTGTAATTGTTCATCTTACAGGCTTGAGAGCACTTTCCACAGCCAACTTGGAAAGTTCATTTGGTAGAAATGCAAAGCTTAAATCTTTTGTTGTGTAGTTTTTGTGTGATTTTCTGCAGTAGCCCATGGGAAATAGAGATTGTGATGCAACCTCTACTCATTTCCCAGCTGGTTTGGTCTAGGAATGCTGCCAGTTGTACCCAATGTATTTATTTTAGGGGTGGCTTGTTATAATGGGTGAAATAGAAAACTTAATTGCCTTTTCCATCCATTTCATCTTGGTATTGCTCAGGAAAATACTTGCTCAGAATCATCTATTAGGATGACCCTCAAAATCCACCCCAGCATGGCAAAGTGTGCTGTGTTGGGTGACTGATATGACTGGTCTAATCAAGGCCAATTATGACAAATTATTTGTTTGGAGTCACTGTCAGGGTGAGAGTTGTCAGATCTTTAATCACCTTAACAGAAAGGAGATACCCAAAATCTCATTCCCTGTGTAAAATCACTGCTGTCCCCGCTCAGGTGGCGGATCTGAAGACCAGGAACCAACAGCTGGACTCTGAAAATACAGAACTCAGCCAGAGGAACTCCAAAAACCAAGCAGATGTGCAGGATCTCAATCAACAGCTGGCCAGGGTGCTCAAGCAAAAGGAAAGGGAAGAGGGGAAGTGTACCCTGGAAGAATGGGAAAAGGAGAGGCTGCTGCTGAAAGAGGAACTGGAAAACTCCAAAATTGAGGTACAGGATTTGGGAGGACAGTTGGACCTCAGGGGCTTGGGAATTGGCATCCCTGTCCTGGGATGTGTGTGGGATTTTAAAGCTGAGCTTTGCTAAGTGCTGGCTTAAGCACAGCAGCAGCCAAAAGCCAGGAGGGAAAAAAGTTTGTCTTGAAACCACAGCTTAGTGATGCCAAATATTTCCCTGCGCTCTCCAGCATGGCTGTTGTTCATCCAGTGCCATCTCAGCTCCATCCAGTGCCTGCAGCATCCTCTGCTTTTAAACTTTGGTGCTCTGTGAGTCTCCTAAACTGAAATTTGAGCCTTTTTATTGTTTGCAGTCGTCAAATATGGTGTCGTCTTTGGAGGTGGAGGTCTCAAAAATGAAGATTCAAGCTCATCTACTGGAGCAGGAGAACCACATCCTCAAGCAGGAGCTGGAGAAGACAAAACAGGTATGGAATCCTATTGCACAGAGAAACTGTGTCTGCCCCTGGATCCCTGGAAGTGTCCAAGGCCAGGCTGGGTGGGCTTGGAACAACCTGGGATAGATCGGATTAATTTTCACCATCTCTTAATGGATGAAAATTAATAGCTGGAAATTGTTAATTTTTTTAAAGAAAGGTCATAAAAGTAAGGGAATGTAACTCCTCTTGAAACAGTTTCCAGGTGCAAGGCACAATTCTTCAGATAAGGTTGGGTTCACTTCGACTTTGCCAGAAGATTTGGTCAAGATAAAGATTTAAAGCTCTAATTAAGGAATGGACAGGGCAAATGGGATTGACAGGAGAACATTTCCCTGTGTAACTGGAGATAACCCATTTTAGCTCCAAATTAGGATTTATTTAAGGAGTGAGCTCTTCCAGCTTGTCCTGTCAGGGAGAATTCCTGTTGCTAAACCCATCTGGAGATATCAGAGTCTCACAACGTCTGAGGATAATTTCCTGGAGAGCTCAGTTATCTCCTGTACAAGCACAGTTCAATTGGCTGTAAATATATGCTAATAAACACAGATAATAATGAAGGCTTCAAATGAGTCAGTTCCCTGATTAGGGCTCCACAAAGTCATTTTCTGCAGAGTGTAAAACACTCAGTTGAGGCACCCAGTGCTCAGGGTAGATAATGGTGTTAAAAAGCAAAAGCAGCTGAGGCCTATTCAGAAAGGAGTGGATTGTGGCTGGAGTGTAATTACAGGCAGGAGATGGGAAAGGCATCAAGGATAAAGCACTGGGTCAGTTGGGAAAAGGATTGGAAATCAGCAGTGCAGTGGGTTTCCCTCCCTGTGTTTTAGCACAGTGATTTAGGTGGGATATTCTGGAAGAATCCCTCTCTGCAAGGGTGGTGAGGCCCTGGCAAAGGCTGCTCCAAGAATTTGTGGCCATTCCTGGATCCCTGGCAGGACAGCTTGGAGCAACCTGGGATAGTGGAAGATGTCCCTGCCTTATTCCAGAGGGATTGGAATTTGATGACCTTTAAAGGTCCCTTCCAACCCAAACCATTTGGGCATCCCATGATTTTCATGCCAAATCCTGTGACAGCCCAGAAATGCAAACTGTGAGGGGTTTGTTTCCCACAGCTGCCCAGATGTCCTGATCTCGCTGACCTTCAAAATGAAGTTTCAAGTTTAATCACTAAAAATGAAAAGCTGCAGAAAGAGAAAGAAGCCCTGAGTGAGGAACTGAACAGATGTATTGATAAGGTAAGAAAGAACTGTAAATCCACATCATTACATGCTGTGTTCTGTATTTTCAGAGTTAAAGTTCCTGTATCATTATCTATATCACCATAACCTGTAAAACTTCCCGGGATGGTGTTTTCCTCACCCTCAAGCCAGATAAAGGCTTAATTTATCCACTGCTTGGATTTTTTCTCTTAGCTGGTCTTAGGAAAGTTTCAATCCTGGAGCACAGCTTTACTGTAATTTGATTATGTAGAAAATTCCAAACATTGCAAGGAGGAGAGGCCTGGATATAAATACTGCAGCAAGACAAGGAAGACAGTGTTCTTGGAGTTTTATTGCATCTCTAACCTACTGTAACTCTGAACTGGAGCAGAGCAGACTGCACACTGTAAATAATAACCCCACTGTGTGGAAATTCAGGGAGCTGAGGGGCTTTTTGCTTTCTTGCAGTTTCCTTCCTTCCTTCCTTAGCTTTAACTCCCTCCAGGGCAACCCTTGAAGTCAAATTGAGTCAAGGAAAATTTCCTGAGTTGAGGATTCCTGATGTAATCTCATTGCAGGTAGCTCAGGTCAGCTGCTTGGAGAGTGCCATCAGCAGCTTGGAGCAGGAGCAGAAATCCTGGGAGCAGCAGAGCCAGGCACTGAAAGCACAGCTCAGCCTCTCCCAGGACAAGGTAGGAAACCCTGATTAATGTTATAACCCTGGATAAAAGCACTTTGATCATCTCCTGCAGTGCTTTTTCTCATGAAAGCCCCCTCCTGATGCCATGCAGCTGAGAATGGCTTTGAGGGGCTTTCAAAGTGATGTTCTTGAAGGACAACAGGAAGCTTGTTAAACACAATGAGGGATTTTTCTCTCTGCAGCCAACATACTTTTGCCAATTCCCTCTTCCTGGTGATACCCAAAATGCTGCAGAGACTCTGTTGCTGCTCCTCTGTCCTGGTGCAGGCTCATCCTTCCCCAGGAATGGGGGATCAAGTGGTTCCCTGCTTGGCTGAGCATTCCTGGAGTTTAAATAATTTAATATTTAATAATTAAATATTTAATAATTTAATTCCTGGAGAATAAACAGTTCAAGGGAAAGCTTCTTTCCAGCCTATCACAGTAAATGCTCAGGGCTGGAAGATGTTTCTGGTGAATGCAGCATTGTGGCTCTAGTCAAAGTGGGAGGCTGCGAGCTTGGAACTGAAAGTTGGAAAATTGTATGGAATTATAGAGTTTTAAGGATAGAAAATCCCTCTGAGGTTGAGTCCAACCATTCCTCAGCACTGCCAAGGCCACCACTGACCCGTGTCCCCAGGTGCCACATCCACCATGGATTTTAAATCCCTTCAGGGATGATGGGGACTGCACCACTGCCCTGGGCAGCTGTGCCAGTGCTCAAAAACCCTTCCCATGAGGAAATTTTCCCTACTGTCCCATCTAAACCTCCTCTGACACACCCTGAGGCTGTTTCCTCATCCTGTCCCTTGCTCCCTGGGAGCAGAGCCTGACCCCCTTCAGCTCCACCTTCCTGTCAGGGAATTGTAGAGAGCCATAAATTCAATTTAACACTTCCAAAGGGTGAAATCAACATTTTAACTTCACTCCTTCCATCAGAGATCCTAAATACCTGAGAAACCTGATGCACACAGGGAATCTTGGTCCAGCAAAACCCAAAGCTGTGCTCCTTCTCTTTTACAGGTTCAGAGCCTCAGTGAAACTCTGCAGAGCACCAACCTCCAAATGTCCCGGCTGAAATCCGACCTGCAGGTGACGCAGCAGGAGAAGGAAACTCTGAAACAAGAAGTGATGGCGTTGCACAAACAGCTGCAGAGCACCAGTGAAAAGGTAAAGGGCTTCAGGGATGTCAGCAGGTAGCTGGAATTGTATATTGGATATCATGTTGCAGGTTTAAAGCTGATTTTTGGGAGCTGTATTTTAAGTGTTGGACGTCAGTCCCTCTCCTGAGTCTCTATTCTTTCCCTAAAAGAAACCTTTTGCCAATAAACCCCCCCCCCCAAATCTTTGGACAATGAATTAATTAACACCTCTCAACTATAAAAATTAAACCAGTCATTGAGAGAGGATCTAATTTTCAGTGCAACTTGGATTTGGAAGGTACAGAATTATACCAACCTCTCAGCTAATGAGGATTTGTAACTGAAGGAGGTTGCAGACAGCAGTCTTGGGGTTGCTATTATGAATTCAGTTACTAATTTGGCTTGTTTGCCATGTAATTAAGGAATATTTAATGTCCACGTGGAAAAGAGGCTGTTTCAGAATCCTACAACAAGAGCTAAATTACAGCTATTAGTGCATAATATATAATACTGAGTTCTATTTGGCTCTAAAGAGAGCAAAAATGGCTTTTTTTGTGTTGCTGAACTCTGTGAACTCCTTGTGCACACAGCTATTCTCTGTGATTTTAGCAGAGGGGGAAGCATTTGGGGTTTGCACGTTGGATTTCTTAAGGGAAAACAGCGAGTGGGCCGGGAGGGAGACGGGAAGAATGCTGCGACTTTGGAGCCTGCACTTACTGAAAATCCACCTAAAACCCACCTGAATAGAGCAAATGTCTGCTTCTTTGTTGAAGGCCTAACCCTGCAATTCTGTCTGTCTTAAGAACCGGGTTCTGGAAGTGGCTGTGCCTCCCTCAGGGCTGCAGGACCAGCGGGGGCCGATCCACTGGGATGAGCTGGAGCAGCCGGCGGAGCAGGAGCAGAGGCTGCTCAGGCAGGAGAACGAGAGGCTGCAGAGGGAAGTGCAGAGCACTAAAACAGACCTGGCTCACTCCAGGGAAAAGGTAACTGGCAGATCACAGGAGAGCTGGGTTGGGAGCTCTGGAGGTCACTCAGAACACTTTGTGTGGATCACAATCCAGTGGAATCCAATTCTGAGCATCTCCAGAGAATGAGACTCCTCAGCACTCTCAGGATATTGCTCTTTTTTAAAAGACAATCCTTGTAATTCTTGTCCAAATTTTCACTCCAACTTCAAGTTAACAAAAAGATTCTTAATACTCCTAACGTTCTTCTTGTGCAATTTCTTGGCTCACAGTATTAAGTGGATTATGGGAAGGATGAAGGGAAAAAAGGCCGAAGTATCAAAGCAAATTTGTCAGAAATACCCCAGAGTGCCCAGAGCAGCTGTGGCTGCCCCTGGATCCCTGGAAATGCCCAAGGCCAGGTTGGATGAGACTTGGAGCAGCCTAGGATAGTGGAAAGTGTCCCTGACATGGCAGGGGTAGAATGGAATGGGATTTAAGGTCCTTTCCAACCTAAACCACTCTGGGATTCTGTGAGTCCAAAATCAGCTGGTATTTTAGATGAAGTGGAATTATCTGGAACATCTTTTCACATTTGTTCATCTCTGATCCCCCTCAGATCCGACAGCTGGAATCCACAATCCTTTCCCTAAAACACCAAAAGCATCAAAGCCAGTCAGGGATTGTCAAAGCCATAGAGCAGGAGAAGCTGAGCTTGAAGAGAGAGTGTGAGCAGCTCCAGAAGGAGCTGTCATCTGCAAACAGGAAGGTGAGTTTTGGGGTGTAAACACATAAATCAGTGCAGCAGTTTGCATCTCTCAGATGCTCCAGGGAGAAGCTGGAACTTTCTTCTTCTGCTCTGAGTTTTGTGCTCTTTGCCTCTCACAAATCTGTGTCTGAAGGAGCTGACAGGGCTGTGTGCATCTGCTGTGAGACAGCTCTTGTAGCAGAGCACTTGTCCAAATACTCCTGGTTTTTAGACTTTTCTTGGTATTCAGTGGTTCATGAGGGGGGAAAAACAGAAAAAAATGAGAAATTGCTGCTTTTCTAAAGAAACTTTACAAAGTTTCTGTGTGTGTGAAGGTAGAGCAATAATTTTTAATGTACCCCCCCACAGCATGAAGAAAACATTCTTTTTTTTTTTTTTTATTCTTTTTTTATGGATTTATTTTCTTTATAGATCAGTCAGATGAATTCTCTTGAGCGTGAACTGGAAACCAGCTCTGAAAATGAAGGGCTGAGAAAAAAGCAAGTCAAGCTGGATGATCAGTTAATGGAGGTACTTTTTAATCCCTGTTGACTGTGGGCCTTTAGCACGATTTTACTGAATTTATTTTATTTTGAAACAACTTATGGATGTGTAGAAACAGAGAAAACTAATTGAAATTGAAACTAGAAGAATTAACCTCTCCTGAAGTTTAACTTTCATGACCAAGTTGTGTGGCAAACATCCTGCTCTCTGAAGCATGTTTTTTGTTTAGTCATAATTGAAATACTTCAGATATAAAATCAAATAGCAAAGAAATTTATTTCTGTACTTGAGGCAAGGCTGACACTTCCCTCTTCCTTCCTAAAACATGTTGCCTCAAATTTCCTAACTGATATTTGTGTGATGCTGCTCTTAATATAGAAACCTCTTCTTATTTCTTCTGAATAATTTGCTGAATTTAAGCTTAATATTAATCTAAATCATGATAAAAAATCAATTTACACAGCTTACTGTTAATTTAAAGGCACGAGTGAAAAATTCAGTGGAGATTCTTCCAAAAGCTGCTGTAAAAGTTCTGCTGGGGATGGATCATGCTGGATATCAAAATTTAGGAGTCTTTGGTTATAGGAATGGGCAACTTAATTGTGTTTAGTGTGCCCCATAAGGTCAGCCCAGACTTCCAAGGTCTCTCTCAGTAGTCTTGCCTAAATTTGATGTCCTGGATTTGAGTTGAAAGCAAAATATTAAAAAAAATAATGAAATTAAAATAAAAAATCAAAAAACTACAATTTTGACTTGTTCCATAAGTGAAAGCATCTTTTAGTTGAGCCTCCTATAACACTTTATAAATGGCTTCATGTTTTTCATCAAATGGGAGCCATTAGGCTGAAAATCTCATGTAATTAGTAATAAAATTGTAAAAACCTAATTAGGCAATATGAGATTTTGACAAGTTAATGAAAAGACTGTTTATATTCCCTGTGAATTTATGTATATAGTCTTAATTAAGCTTTGGGAAAATACCAAACACTTAAACTCATAAACACCAAGCCTGGGATTGCGTTTTCTCCTGAAATGTGTATTTCAAACAGGCAGGATTTTGTTCCTCCTGGTAACCCTTTCCCAGCAGGTGTGTACAAGATTCACTCAGTGATTTGTGATTTCTAACTCTCTCTTTTGTGCCTGTTCTCCTTTTGTCCATGGCTAACCTGGCTAGAACTCAGTGGTTGGAAGTAGCAGAGAAGGGGGCAGTTCTCTCTCTGAAATAGTGTGTGAAGGTAGAGCAATAATTTTTAATGTATTCCCCCACAGCATGGAGAAAACATTCCTTTATTTTTATTTTTCATAATTTTTTTTATGGATTTCTTTTCTTTTTATTCCATGCATCTCTAAAGTAAAGAAGCCACTATTCATTTCAATGACAATTTTGGACAGCTGCCCCAGGTTCTTTGTGGTTAAAGTGTGGTTCTGTATCCCAAGGAGCTGCGTGTTCCTAAGGGATTGCCATGAAAATGGAGAGAAATCACCCTGTTGCTTCCAAAAGAATTAAAATTGGAAGTGAGAGAATGAAAAGTGGCTTCCTGCTCCCCCACTGACTGCAAGGCTTGAAGGTGTTTGCATATTTACCTCTGGTGCCTGCATGCTTTTCCACCAGACTGTCCAATGTTTCCTTAAATTAATTAATTTCTGTTCCCACTTGGCATCATCCTGATAGTTTAGCAAGCTCGTGGTTGTTCCATTTTCTTCCACAGATGAAAACACAGGGTTATCTTCTTCTCATTCTTGTTTCATTAGTATTTATTTCCAAGATGCTGTTAACACTAATTGACTGTTTCCTCGTTAGTTACTCGTGTGCTTCACAACATGACAGGAACCCTGAAAGAAATTGCACCAAAAGCTCATTATTTTCACTGTTTATATTGTCAGGAAAAGAACAGCTCTTTTACAGACAAAAATAGTCCCAGAATAGCTTTAAAAAGTACAAATAGTTTTATTTTGAAGTATTTATAAACCTGTTTTCTGTTCACCTGGACCAGCAGAGATAGGGATGATAACAGGGCCAGAAGAGCTGCACCATTGTGAAAAATATTTAGAGTGTGAGATGAAGTCAATAACTGAAATATTATCCAAATTGATAATTTTGCCAGTTGTGGAAGGGAAATTAAAATCACCAAGATGATATTACACACCTTTTCCTAAGGGAACAGAGAAATGGTTTTAAGGCAACAGGATTTTTATGGGAAGAAATTATTAATGCTACACAAATTGCAAATGAGTTTGTCTGAACCATCAGGGATTTTTAATGTCCAGTTCTGGTCCTTTTTAGTATAATTAACTCTTCCAACTCTGAGTTACTTACCTGGGTTTTACTTTAGTCTGGAGAAATTCTAAATTATTTCATGTGGCTGTTAGCTCCACAGTTAGGAATGAACATTAGGAAATATCTAGAGGGTGCTAAATACTGAATTCTGTATATAATATCAGAGATGAATGTTCCCTCTCCATCCTAAAGATGAGAAATAATCAGCACAACTAATACCAGGAAATGAGATGGGAAATTATTGCTACTTGAAGCTCCCCAACTAAACTTTGTTAGGAATTCATCAAAATGAATCAGTGACTTTTATAGTTCAGGCCTGAAATGATGACTCCTGTGTGAAATTCCATCTTTTTTCACCTTCTATCACCGAGCCCAGGCTCGTTTTTCTCACACATGAGAAATCTGAGAGCTGCTGACAGAGCCACCCTGGCATCATTTGATCTTTTAAATTTTGGGCTTTTATATTTTGGATTTTGGGATTTATTTTATTTTTTTTTTCCCTTTCCCCAGATGCTCCAGTCCGGGGGGATGCGTAGCCAGAGCTCCCAGCTGCCAGGCTGTGCCATGGTGCCCAGGGAACAATTCCTGCAGCTCCAACAGCAGCTGCTGCAGGCAGAGAGGAGGAGTCAGCACCTCCAGGAAGAGCTCGAGAGCAGACCCTCGGCGACAAACATGCAGCAGGTAAGGCTGAAAAGGGAAAAATTTCAATTATTTGGTTTGGTTTTTTTGGTGGTTTTTGGTTTTTTTTAAAAAAAAAAAATTCTGGTGAGATCCGTTCTCTGTTTATGCCAGTTCAAAAATTAAACTTTATGCCAGCAAGAATATGTGCAAAAAATGCTGTTTAGCATGGTTAGCCTGAGCTTCATTCTGAAGTCCTCTTAATTTTGTTTTTTGAGATCAAACCACTCCCATCCACATTTAACTGGCTTTTCTCCTCCTGCTCCACGTGCACTAAGTGTTTATAGGGGATTTTTTTGGTTTCTTTGCCTAATGACCATGTCTGGAATGATTATTTTTTTAAATAGGGGCTTTTCATTTTGTTTGTTTCTTTACCTAATGACCATGTCTGGAACTATTAATTTTTAAAATTCAGATATTGCACAGGAATCCATCACATAAAATCTTATTTTGGGATTAAAATCCTTTTTCTAAGGTCAATCTTGCTGATTTGGCCATGACACGAGACTGTTGTACAGAAACTTCAACATTGGAATTTCTGAGGGAAAACCAATTCCAAGGAAAATTAATTCTTCCACTGCCCACATTGGGCAGAGTCACTTCTTGTGTTAATTTTTTAAATTAACACAAAAACTGTAAATTATATGTAAATTATAAAATATAAAATTATATAATTAAAATTATAAATTAAACTGTAAATTATAAATGCAAAACTGAATTCTAGGCAGTAGAAAGGTTTGCATCTGCCATATAAAAATTGCCAAATTATTATATTTCTATTATATATTTATATAAATTTATATTTAATTTATACTAATTATAATTATTTAATAATTTGATACTTTAAATAAATGGTTTAATATATTATATTTATAATTAATTCTATATTTAATGATTCATTTAATATTTAATAATTAATTGTAAATTATTTTATTTCTATTTATATATATGTTTATGTTTATATTTTTCTTCAAAAAGTAATTGGATTTCTAAGTCTCTAAAGTTTTGGCTCAGGCCAAATAAGGACTTAAAATAATATTACAACTCTGTCTTATGAGAAAATATAAAGTACTAAGTAACCTAAATGTATATTTGGTATTTTATCTATTTTAGATTAGATATTTATTTAGATTTATATTTATATATATTACTAGATTAGACAAAATACTATTAGCTATTTATTCATCTGGTAACAGGAAAAAAAAACCCTTCTTCTATTTTAAATTTAGATTGTAGTTATACTTTAAAATAATACATTAAAATAATAATAATACCAAGACTTTGAAGCTCAAAAATCTCTGAATATGGTAATAGGTATTCCAGAAAAACAGGTTTTATGGAGAGAGTAAAGGGCAGTAACCAAATTTTAAAGTATCCAAAACTTGGAGTAAAACTTTTTTTTAAAGAAAGGTGTAAAATCAAAATGTTTCCTTAAAAAAAATAAAAGCAAAATAATTTCAGGTTAAGTAGAAATAATAAATTGATTGTAAGGTTCCTTTTCAAAATGCATCACCACAGGCTGAGGTACTTGGTCCCACACCAGGGGGAGCAAAATGTGCAGTTGAATTTAAAAATCAATCCAAGCTGCAAATGAATGTGCTGGGATTGCACTGGGAGTGATGACTTTGTAATTCAGATTTTGGAACAATCTGCAAATGAGTCCCATCCTGGAACTTGCAGTTCTAGAGCTGAATCACTCCTGCATTTCCTGGAAAAGCTTGGTGAATTTAAAAATACTTAGACTTTGCAAATATTTGCTGTCGATGCAGTAATGCACTTAATCCTTTTCAATTTTTCTCCATTTTTTCTCCATTTTTCCCTCCATTTTTCCCTCCATTTTTCCCTCCAATTTTTCCCTCCAATTTTTCCCTCCAATTTTTCCCTCCAGTTTTTCCCTCCAGTTTTTCCCTCCAGTTTTTCCCTCCAGTTTTTCCCTCCAGTTTTTCCCTCCAGTTTTTCCCTCCAATTTTTCCCTCCAATTTTTCCCTCCAATTTTTCCATTTTTTCTCCTCAAAATGAGTGGATATTCTGATTTATAACACCCATTTTTGTTCCACAACTTGCTAAATCATTATTAAAAACCTGCAGTTATAAACAAAGCCAGATTTGTCTCCACAAATTCCAGTGCTTCTTATAAGCACCTCCTGCTTGAATCTCTGTCGATTTTTCTCTGCCATCCTGATTTTTAAGATTTTTAACATTTAGTTGAGCTCATGTCCCTTTTAATGTCCCCTTTAGCACCCTGAAAACTTCCATCCTAATCCCTCTCCATCATCTTTCCACCAGTGAGTACAAGGTCAGGTTATCTCCACGCTTTCTGTGTAAAATGAATTCATTTAGTTCTGCTGCTGCTTTGCATTTTGCAGCTTGATTAGATCCTGGATAATGAGGTTTCCAAAGTTATCCCTTTTTTTTTAAAAAATGGAATTATTCTGTGTTTATCCTGCTTTGCAGTTTTCATTGCTTTTTAATCTCTGTTTGTGGTTTTTCATTCATTTTACAGTTATTTTCATCCAAAGACTGCTGCTACATGTTTAAATTTCACTAAAATTAAAACTCCTGAGCTGTTTTTACTCTGTTAACCTGTCTGGATTTTTCTGAATTCCCAGTGACTGTTTCTGCTGTGTTCAGTGCTGTGATTATCTCATATCCCCTTTCTCAATAACTAAATTCAGTTAATTACCCAGTGTTTCCCAAAGTTTGCCTATGGAAATGGGAAATATTGATTAATATTTCTGATTAATATTTGAGTTGCTCAATTCCCCCTTGGCACAGCTCTATTTCAAATTTCACATCACCTCTGACCAGCTGCTCGTTCACTCTGAGGGAAAAACAACAAAGTTTGAGATAGAAATGCAAAGTTTTTCAGAGAAGAGCAAATTTGGCCACATTTTCCCCAAATTCTTGGCAATCTGTGCTGTTTTGTATATATTATATGAGATTTTTATGTTATATATGAGATTTTTTATGAGAGAAAGAGAGGAGGATTTCCTCTAAAAAAACTTTGCTGACTTAATTACTGCCACTGATGTTTTAAAAACCATAGATGAGAGTCTTTAGATGTAAAAAATACCCCCTCAGCCTCCCAGCTGTGTACATTTAATGCTAATAATCATCTTTAACAGACAGAAAATATAAGATATTCCGCATGTCTTTTTCTCCTTGTGTGTATATTTTATTTTTTTTTTTGTCCTGTGTTGCTTGCTTTGCTTGTATTGGTGATTTTTGGGGTTTTTTTTTGCTTGAAGTGTACGTGTTTTGAAGAAAAACCTGAATATCAGGGTGAAGTATTCCCACTTCCCTTCTTTCTCTAGGCCTTGCTACCGGAGCAGCGAGCAGTGCATGCAGATTCCTACCGGAGGATCGGGCACCTCTGACACCTCTGGCTGCTTTTGATCCCATTCCTTTTTCATCAAAAACACACAAAAACACAGAACTGGCATAAGCTGAGAAAATTGAGGATCAAATTCCTTTTTTTCCCCCTTTTATTCCTTTTATTTTTTCATTTTTCCCTTCATTTTTTCCCCTTTTTTCCCTTTTTTCCCTTTTTTTTCTTTATTTATTTTCCTTTTTATTTATTTTCCTTTTTCCTTTTTATTTATTTTCCTTTTTATTTATTTTCCTTTTTATTTTCCTTTTTATTTTCCTTTTTATTTTCCTTTTTATTTTCCTTTTTATTTTCCTTTTTATTTTCCTTTTTGTTTTCCTTTTTATTTTCCTTTCTTCCCCCCTTTTTTTCCCCCCTTTTTTTCCCCCCTTTTTTTCCCCCCTTTTTTTCCCCCCTTTTTGGTTCCTTTTTTGGTTCCTTTTTTGGTTCCTTTTTGCTCCTTTTTGTTCCTTTTTTGTCAAAAAAACAACAAAAAAAGTCTCTGCAGTGTTATTTTCTTATTTATTTGTCTAGAAAACTATTTTGTGAAAGCTCAGAAGCTTTTTTAATTTGTTACAAATTGGTTTTATTTATGTTATTTAAAAATGTGCAGTTGTTCAGTACAGGAAAGAGCCTATTTTTCTCAAAGGGTACTAATTTTATATGAGATTTGAAGAAAATCTGGGGTATTTATACTGCATTTTTGTATAAGATGTATAAACTTTTTCACAGGGAAAGATGACTTTTTTTGGATGTAAATGAAAAATAAAATCTTTTTTTAAGCATAATGTCTCTTTTCTTCCTAGAAATCAATAATTTTCACTTCAAGAATGAACAAGTTTTAAACAAAATATTTATCTTTGATAATGAATATTGTTATATTGGGATTTCTGGGAAAGATTTGTGGTGGGGATGTAGTAGAGTACAGAAACTCAGCTTTTCTTTAGCAGATGTACCTGAAAATTTAAGAAAATTTGGGATCTTCTACTGCAGTGGCCATAAAGTAAAAAGGGAAAATTATTGTTTATTGGATACAATTCTATAGTTTTTATTTTGTCTCAAACTATTAGATTAAATTAAGATTTTAGTACTTTAATAGTTCAGCAAAACACCTCTGTGATTTTCCCACTTGGAGCCATGAACCATTTCAGCTGTTTGCTTGTAAAGATCTTTTTTCTCCTATTTTTAATGACCTTAAAGCTGCTGCCTGAGCTGACTTATCATGAAATAATGTGAAGTGAGAAGGTTTAAGGCAAAAAAAAAAACAGGGATCACAGGTATTTGAGACCTCTCTAATTCTTCTTTTCCACATCAGTTACTCACTCAAGGCTCCCTCACAACCAATGGGAAGTGGAACAGTGAGTTCCAGGGTTTTGCATTCCAATCAAATTCCATTAATTCAGAAAAATATCCACTCCACCCACACTGTGAAACTGTTTTCTATGTGACTCTAATGTAAAGCTTTTTCATAAAAATGAATTATCACATAACCTCATCCACAGGTTTGAGTTTCTGATGCTACAGCAAATAAAATGTTGAGTGAGCTTCAATCAGTCCCCTCAAGGGGATCATTTTGTGGGGTTTTAGATGAGGAACTCCATACCTGAAGCAGATTTTCATTTATCCTCCTCTGCAGCTGGGATGGGTTTGGGTTTGAAGGAGTTTTATTTTCAGTTGATGCTTTCTCAAAGCTTCTCTCCTCAAATGACTGCCTAGAATTTGAGTAACAAACAAGTATTAAAATAAAGTCTCAATTTTCCTGCAGTCAGGGTCTAAAGTTCCTAAATCCAAACAAGTTCTTTTGTAAATCCTGATGTTTCTTATTTTTTTGGGAAAATTTCCCTTAGGTGTTGGTGTAATGATCTCATGACACAGAATTATGATGCTTTAGTTTAGGGTTATGAAAACTAATCTAAAAAAGCATAAAAAATGAGGTTTGGAATCCTACTTCATTTGGATATTACTCAATTTCAAGTAGTCTCTGGCATGGGGGAGTTATATTTTCAAACATGACCTCACGACTTCACCTTATTTTTATTCTAAAACCATTAAATTGGCATTTTGTTTTCCACATTCATCAGAAATTTGGCAGCACCAAAGAACAAGAAAAGGAAGTCATCCAGCTCTGACTGTTACAGACAATCCAGAACTTAGAATTTTATATTATTTTTCCTTGATTTGGTAATTTCAAGTGTAACTTGCTTGGAAAACCGGTGCCATGCTGAGAGTGTCCTTTAAGTGTTGCCATAAAATTTTGCTTTAATTAAGGGTTTTATTAATTTAGTTTCCTCTAAAGCAGACTGAAGTGTGGAGGGCCAGCTATTTTCTTCTCTAAACTGGAAAAACAAAATAGACTGGACAATGGGAACTGATTTTTAACTGATTTTCACATCAATGTTGCTTTCCAGGGGGGTCATGAGCAGCTTCTAAAAATGATGGAAGAGCGGATGATGGATGTGGAGCAGAAATTAAGGCTTGTGAAGAGGCTTCTCCAAGATAAAGTAAATCAGCTGAAAGAACAAGTAAGTGTTCTTGGACTTCCTCAAACCTTCCCCATTCCTTCTGTAAACCTCTAAGTGGGTAAAAGCTGCCAAGCTGTTGTTCAGAATAAAGTTACAAGTGGTTTTATTTGATGCATTTGAGCTCAACTGCAGCATAATTTGCCCAAAACTTCATAAATCTCCAAACTGAGGACTGAATGCACTACTCATTAATTTCCTAAATCAAGAAACAAAAATCAAATTTCAGCTGAGGATGTTAACTGGAAATGTTTCTTTAAAAAGGAGGAAAAAAATAAATTCCTGGGGTGGAAAATCAAGATTGATTTCTTTGAGGCTTCCTGCCCCAAACACATCCTTTGTTTGATGTGGTTTTTGGAAGCATCCCTGTGGGATCACTTGTGGATTCTCTTGTGCACTAAATTTATCCTTAGAGGATAAATGCTGTAAAGCAGAACTCACCTGACAAAGTTAATTTGAACCCCTCTATTATCTACCCCATCTCCTTAAAAAACCTCTCCAGTCTCCAAATATTCACAGACCTAAAACCTCTAAAACTCTTAAAGAGCTTTTAATGAGAGGAATGGGGTTTGACTTTGATATTTGAGTTGTAATTAACATTCACCTGCTTTCCCCACCTTTCTTTGGAGTTTTTCTTTGTCATTTGCTGAGTGCCTGTGTCACATTCCCATCCCAGCTTTCCAAGAACACCAAGGCAGATGCGATGGTCAAGGATCTCTACGTGGAGAACGCGCAGCTGCTGAAGGCCCTGGAGGTGACGGAGCAGCGGCAGAAAACTGCAGAGAGGAAAAATTATTTACTGGAAGAGAAAATTGCCAACCTCAACAGGATAGTGAAGAACTTGGCTTCCCCCTCCTTCAGCCCAGCAGCGGAGATCAGGTCATAGCAAAGCTGGTCCGTGTCACAGCCCCCTGCACTTTACTGAAATGGGAATATTTCAGCTTCTCACTGCGTTGCCTTTTTTTTAACTGAATGAGTTTTAGTTACAAATGCCTCCCCAGAGAGCTGATTCCCAAACTGGACACTGCCAAAGGAGAATTTTGTTGGTTCCCAAACTGCTAAAATTAATCATCACTATGTATAAAAAGCCAAACTTATATTTTTCTAGGTTAACTTATTTCGATGCCTTGTGTTTCATTTAAAATCCAAATTCTGAATTTCATGTACTGGATCATCTAGATTGAAGCAAAATCAGATTTAACAATATTTTCAGCTTGCTAAAATACTTCATGCTCCAAACCTAGAAAATGCTGATGGGTCAGTCTTCAACACTGTCAGCAGAAATGTTATTGAAGGCAAGACTTTGCTGCTATGGGCAACTATTATTTCCTTTTTCTTTTTTTTTTTTTTTTTTGTAAGCTATGCTGCCAGATAAGTCTGAATTGCAGAGGCCTTGCTGGTTTTGTATATGAAAATAAGTTAAAGCAAGGAAGAGTCACTCAACAGAGGCAAAGATGAGAGTTTTGTTTATGTGATCTGTAAATTCAGTAAAGCAGTGCAGCGTATTTATTAAACAGCTGGCAGAAGAATGAAGAAGGGCACTTGGATGATTTTGTCAGTGAGATCCTGTTGTTGGAACCCTCAGGAACATGGAGCTTTGCCAGGAATGCAGCATTTGTTCTGACCTGAGGAATCATTTGGAAAAGTCTTTGTCTTTTGTGTTAATCCTAGTGCAGAATCTAAGTCGTCATTAGTCGTGAAGAAACACTTTCAGTGTAATCATGAAGAACTCAGGGAATAACAGCCTAAATCAGCTATAAATGTTGGTATTAATGTCACCAGAGGGAGATAAACACACCTTAGGGAAAGCAGGATAAAGCAAATTGGATTTGGGTGAGTATTTCCTTGGTGCTCCTTACCCAACATGCAGAGGAGCATCAAGGTTTGGGATGAGAGAAGTGGTACCTCTGCCTGGATCAGTGGAGAAATGCAGATTTTTTTGGGAACACCTTCAGGACAGAGAAGCAGCTGGATGAGAGCCTGCCTGCTGAAGGGTGTGGAATGTTTGAAACCAGACCTCTTTAAATGCACGTGACTGAGGAAGGGGGAGGAAGAGGGGTTTTGTCTCAGAGACTGCTGGCAAGCTGATCATTCTGCCATGAGCCAAAAGTCCTCCAGAAATTGGGGTAACATTGCCTGCAATGTGGAGGAACCTCTGGAAAATGAGTTTTACTGTGTAGTGGTGTGGCTGAGAGGATGTTCCCTGTGTCTCTGGGGTTGCTTACCACTTTTGGAGGGTTTGTGGTCTGAACTAAACACAAGGTATGACTTTTTCCTCCTCCTCTTCCTCTTCCTCCTCCTCCTCTTCCTCTTCCTCCTCTTCCTCCTCCTCCTCCACCATTGCTTTATGCAGGCAACAAAGTGGAAATGGAAATAGAATCATGGGAGAGCATCACATTGGAGTCATAAATTGTTTCACTGCTGTGCTCTTTAAAATCCAAAGTCGGAGATTTCTCTGAGTCATCCCAAATTCAAGGATTTACAGATTTTTTCAGAGGCTGCAAAAATGTTTTCATGAACTGGAAATGTCTTAAATTGATAGAAATTTGAGGGTTTAAAAAGCTGAAGTAATGGTTTCTTGTTACTTTTACTATTCATCACCAAGTGGTCTGAGTTACATTATAATAAATCTCTGTGTGGGTACCAGGGCTGTGTGTTGGCAAAGTGGGAACTGAGCACACCCTAAATTTCCATGCTGTGGAAATTAGCAAAGTTCCAAAATAATTCCAGGAAACAAAAGAAATGGGGTTCAGAACTGTATTTGGAAAAAAATATTATCTAGTATATTTTAAGACTACTTCATACCTTGACCTTGGTTTACTTGTGTCTGTGCCCAGTCTAAAAGGAAGGAATGAATGTTTCACTTAAATTATTGTGCAATTACTTTCATGTTGCTCAATTTAAAGGCTGGAGACAACTAATTCTTTTAATCTCCTGGTAGTTACCAGGCTTTTATAAATCAAACATGGACATTGCTAGAGCACAGCACCAGGAAGGGAGAAGCAGAAATAGGGAAAAGGGACTTTTGGCTTTTCCCTTTCTTCCCCTACCCTACCTTGCTCTAGTTCTCTTTCACTAAACTTCAAAAAAAATCCAATTACAGGAGAGAGGAGGAGAACATCATGTTGGTAAATACTTTTGAGGCAAAACTCCAGATTAATTCTCAGAAGTGCCTTTTGCCTTCCTGTACTGTACTGGCTGGGTTGCAGCAGGACAATTCAGGACAATCCTTTCCCAAAGGGAGGGATCCCAGAGAAAGGCAGAGCTGCTTTCCAGACGGGTGTCACGTTGCTCTTGAATTCATTGTGTCAGCTCAGAAGAGAAGCAGCTGTTTTACAAAGTCCAGGCTACTGAAAAGAAGCATAGAAACACATAATTTATTAAGCATTTAGGGGTGTTTTGTGCATGAATGTGTCTCCTATGCAGAATAGGCAAAAACCAAAGTATTTAATGTTATTGTTGCAGTCAAAAATCACTGAACTTTTAGGCCTTGTTCCTACAACAGGTCCTGCCATGTCAGATATGAACTACTTCAATACCAGAAGGGTGTTTTAAATGTTTTCAACTCTTAACTTTATGAATCACTGTGAAAATAAAGGCACATAGACATTTCAGGTTGGGGGTTTTGGAAGGGGACAGACCCCAAGCTAAATATAGGTGTACAAAATTCACGCAAAATAATTTAGAATTATTTAAAAGTCTATATTGTGGCACGTTCCCCAAGTAGTAGTTTAAATACAAGGAAAATTGAGTTGTTTGAATTCTGATTGGGGAAGGAAAAAGGATTGTAACATATTTGATTTTAACCAGGTTATGTGTTAGGTACAGCAGGGGGGAACAGTCTGGATTGATCAAGAGTAAAATCTTTCTGTTTTAATTCCAGCAAATTCCATCTCTGTCACTCAGGTTTTCCATCATTTACCTGTTCAGTCCCCTGTTTGGTGTCATTTCATGACAAATGACTTCTGTATAAAGGAAAACAAATGTATATTTTTTTTTTTCTATTGAGTTTGTTTTGTTCTGGTGTAATATATTGTCCTTAGAACATCATGTAAAATGGAGAGATGAAGCATCTGACACATTATTTATAATGAGCATAAAAAATACATTAATGTATGATGTATACTTGTGTCTTTTGTTTTTTATCCAACATGAAAATCATGGAATAATTTGGGTTGGGGGCACCTAAAGCAAATCCAGTGCCACCCCCTGCCCTGGCAGGGATATCTTCCACTGTCCCAGGTTGTTCCAAGCTCTGTCCAACCTGGCCTTGGGCACTTCAGAGATCCAGGGGCCACCTCTCTTCCCATTGATTTTGTAAGTATTTCAAGTAGTATCTGCAAATTTATCAAAGGCAGATAATAATAAGAGGAATAAAATAAGGATAATAAAAATGACATAAGGATAATAAAGTAACGAAATGAGGATAATAAAAAGGATGGAACAAGGGTAATAAAAAGATGCAATAATAAAAAGGATGGTTTGACAGCTCTGATGAAGTAATTTCTTCCATTATAAAAGTATGAAATTGAGGTGTGAAAAACCGAGAGGTGGTGAACACGCCTTGGCTTATTTTCCACTGAAGTTGCATCCCTACTCCACACCTTTGTATGGGAAGAATTGAATGTTTGTTGCAAGCCTTTCACAGAGTCATGGAATGGGAAAGGCTGGAGGGGTCTCTGGTCCATTCTCCCTGGTCAAGCAATGCTGTGTCCATCTCTGGGCCCCTCATGGAAAGGACACCGAGGGGCTGGAGCGTGTCCAGGGAAGGGAACAGAGCTGGGAAAGGTGTGGAGAATTGCTGAGGGAGCTGGGAAGGGGCTGGAGAATTGCTGAGGGAGCTGGGAAGGGGCTGGAGAATTGCTGAGGGAGCTGGGAAGGGGCTGAGGCTGGAGCAAAGGAGGCTCAGGGGGCCCTTGTGGCTCTGCACAAGTCCCTGGCAGGAGGGGACAGCCGGGGGGGTCGGGCTCTGCTGCCAGGGAACAGGAAGAAACGGCCTCAATCTGTGCTAGGGGAGGTTTAAATGGAATATTAGGGAAAATTCCTTCCACAGAAAGGGTTGTCAGGGAGGTTTGCAGTGCCCAACCCTGGAGGTGCCCAGGGAAGGCCTGGACGTGGCACCCAGACCTCTGGGCTGGGGACAGGATGGGGATCGGGCACAGCTCGGACTCGCTGATCTCAGAGGTCTTTTCTAACCTCGGCGATTTTATGACTGTCACTGTGTGATTCTGTCACTCCGCCTTTACGGGATTTCTGTAACTCCGGGATTTTTGTCATTCCGGCATTTCTGTTATTCCCGCCTTTCGGTTCTCGCGGGCTCCCTCCGCTCCGTGAGGGGACGCG